GGGAAGAAGCAAGAAACTGGCAAAACACCAAATCTGAAAACAGCTTATAATAAAAATGAGGCTCACTCAAAACAGAGAAAAGAAAAGCAGAAGTACAAAGAAGTAAGTAGGAAGAAATCCAAAAGTCAAGACCACTTCCCATGGATTTGAGGTGAACGTGAAGGAAAGCCAGTGCCAGCCTCTTCCAGGCTCATCTAACTGGTAACATAGGAACCATGCTGGTGCCAAGGTTATTCTGTAGAGCTCAATGTGTGTGTGTGTGTGTGTGTGTGTGTATGTGTGTGTGTGTGTGTGTGTGTGTGCCTTCTGGAAAGCATGTGCATGGATGTGTCTATTTTAGATTTATGTGTATTGAGAGCAAATTTTGCAAGACTGCACCTATGTATGGATCTGCTACAGCAGGTGTGTGCACGTGTGTGTGTGCACGTGTGTGTGTGTGTGTGTGTGTGTGTGTGTAATTGGAAGCAGGAGATGAATGTCTGTGAGTGCACAAGTTGTTTTTATACATCAGAAGCCTTTTCATCCCTGGTCCTGGATGCCAGAAGACTTGATGTCCTCGCTCCTCTTCCACACACCTGCTTTTTCCTGGCCACCTGCCAGCCAATTAGCTTAGCGGGCAAAAGCAGCTGCCTCATAGCAGGTGGATGTCCATCCCAACATCTCTACCTGGTGATGCTAATGGCTATGATCTCAGGGACCACAGGACTAGACTGCCAGGGGAGGAAGGGCACATGTGAATAGAAATTACGAGAAGCAGGCCAACAGAGATAGGCTTACTGTAAAACTGAACATGGAGCATGTTAGACCAGAGATGTACAGAAAATCCTGTTTAATGTAGTTTTCTGAGGTTCAGTAGAGCAACAATATAGAAAAACAAATTGGTCATAAACATGTTTGGGACATGCCAAGCGTAGATTTAATATAACCAGTAGTTGTTGTGGTTGTTTTCACTTTTTACACACATTTATGAATGACTGAACAATCGTTTTTAGCGTATAAATAACCAAAATACATGTAAGTGGGAACTTACAAAGAAGGACTGTACCAAACAATGTTGCTCATCACATTATCACTTGCAAAATAGCATTAAAGACTTCTGGTTTATTTTTTTATATTTTGCCTGGAATTTCTGTAACATTTGTTAGTTGTTGTGTTTAACATGAACTGTGTTCATTTGATTTAGTCAAATTATCTGACTATATATTTAAACATTTACAGACAGTTTTCATGAACTAACATAAATGCAAAATAAACAACTGAACACATTTTTTTCTTACATCTCAGTTTGTTTCTTATATTCTTGATCTTGTCACTCTTGTCACTCTCACATGTTATGGGGTTCACAGCAATGCAACAGGAGCAAGCTATCACTGCGTCAACCTGATGAGGAAATATCAAATCAACATTGTTTTACTGAACAATCACACGATAATAAATCACAGTGCATTTAGTGCCAACCACAGCCTTAAGACATGTGTTGTACGTGCCCAAGTCCATACTTATGAGAGCACCATGTGAGCACCTGTGTGTGTACACGCACTTGTATATGTAAGGTTTCTCTATAGGAGCGTCCAATAGAGAGTGTGAGGGGCCACAGATCTCCCCCCCCAAAGATGCATAGGAGATGGAAGGAGCTCCAAGTCTCAGAGATTCAGGAGCTGCCCCAGAGTGCGGGACCCCAGGGAGACTGCCATCAGAAAAGCCCTTGTCCCTCTCGAGAGGCGCAGAGGATTGCCCCGGGGGGCCACAACCAGCCGCCGGCAGAGTCCCGGCGGCTGGTTGTGGTTTTATGAAACCCCAGCTATGTGAGCATGACCTTAGATTCATCACATATTTTCTTAACTTGTTCTTTCCACGTCTTGACCTGGTTTGTCTGTATTGTCACATCATCTCATGATGCATTCACTCTCAAAAGGGATCTTTAGTGAATCTACACTTTCCTAAAGAGGAAAGGATGAATTAAAGAACCAAACTCATCTCTAAAGTCAAAACCCATCTGCTGCTGCCCAGTCCGTTCTTCACACACAAAACGAATGGGAAAATGACGGTGCGGTGCAGAAGCCAGAAACACACATGGTCACTAACATGGAACCAATTCCACCACAAACGTTAAAGAAAGTTACTGTTTATCATTAATTTTATAACTAAATACCGTCTTGACAAAATCTGTAAATTTTCATTATTTAGCTGCTTTGCTGTAAAAAAAACATGCACAGAGCTCTTGAGTACCATTATGTAGTATAGTCTGTCATGAGGTTGAGCTTCCTGGTACGATGCTGCAGCTAGTCTCATTACCAAGACAAAAAGACACAAACATCACGGCTGTGCTTGTCTCTTTGCTCCCTGTTAGATTCTGTATCGATTGAAAAATCTAACTGCTCACCTTCAGAACTTTAATTGGCCTTGCCCCTAAATACATCTCAGACTTATTGACCCGGTATGGATCCTGCTGACCACTGGAATACACACATCTGCTAACTGACTGTTAACTGTTCGACGGAGAGGTGGAGTCTTTGTACTCCATTTTTTGATAAAAGGCACACCAGTCATTTGAATCAGTTTGAGAACAGTTTGATAAGCAGAAGATACAACACCCTAATTTAAAGGAGATGGGAGTCTAAACCACACCACGCTATCAGATCAGAAGTTTTTTTTTTCCAAAACTTTTAAATCTTCAACCAAAACTAAAAAAGCAAAACCATAACTGCTCGAAACACCCATGCCAAATAAAAGGGAGGGGAAAAGATGCTTCTTGGAATCAGGGAAATCGGATGAGTGAAGCAAATGTGAAAACCAGCTGAACAATTTAAGACGGGGTTGTTGGACGTTTTCTGGTTGTACTCACACATTTAACTGTTGCTTGTTCCACACACACACACACACACACACACACACACACACACACACACACACACACACACACACACACACACACACACACACACACACACACACACGCACACACACAGATATATTACAAGTTATACCAATAGGCATACAATGTAGCAAAGATGATCAATCAGTCTCCAGCAAATGTAAGGTTTATTAATGAGAAGCATCGGTACAACAATACAACCCAAAACAATACTTAGTTTTAGTTCCAAGTTTATGAATCAATTATTGCTGGCTGAGTAGCCAATCAGCTCTATGGGGAAATAGACTGACTCGTCAGTCATAGGTGTGTGAATGTGTGTGTGCATGGGTGAATGACTGATGTGTGTTAAAGCACCTTGGAGGCTTCTACAACTCTAGAAGGCATTCCATAAATACCCAAATCCCAAAATTTTCTAGCCTAGAAATCTAGGCTACGTGTCAGGCACAAGGCCCGCGGGCCAGAGGTGGCCCGCCACATCATTTAATCTGGCCCGGAGAGATTCATGTGTCTTAAAATAAGTCTATGCTGCTTCAAAGCGCACATTGACTATAAGCTACATTTCCCATAATGCATTGTGATTGTGTTCCCAGTGCAGCGACTTGCCACTAGGTCGCAGAGTATCCACTTCCATGTTTAATTAATGCAACAAGTGAAAACAAGTGTCCACACACCATCCCAAAATGTCCAGGAATAGAAAAAATTGATGCAGAAGGAAGGGTGTTTCAACAAAGATGGAACGTGTTGATGCTTCAAGGAGAAAAACCGGTATGTCTTCACAGTCCTTAGCGTCCATGCTACTAGCATCAGCGTCTGCAGCATTACCTCCTCTGCCTCGGACAAACTGAAAACACTCCTCTTACTTTGACTTTGAAGCCCAGAAACGGATTTTAACTGCTCAGTAATCTGTTTGCTGCTGACATAGAAAGTGCACCAGCCAACTTCCAGACCAAGAAACTCCAGTTTAGCGACACGCTCAGGTCACTATGGCTTTATGGCTGCTGCACCTTTTATGCCACCCCCCGACACACTGACCAACTGCGTGGTCCAGATGCTCTCCATGTCCAGCAGCACAAACCTGTGTGAGGAACTGTTTCTCACTGATGAACTCCTTCCTCAGCTCAGAGCCCAACCCCACAGATGCAGATCTGGCTGGAACAGGTGAGCATCACAGGAAATCAGACCAGCCTCTTTGGTGCTGTACATAGATGGTTCACTTCCTACCTCACAGACAGGACTTTTATGGTGAGTTTGGATACCTGTTCCTTGAGGGTCCACAGCCTCACATGTGGTGTGCCCCAGGGTTCAGTTTTAGGCCCAGTACTTTTTAACCTCTTTATGCTCCCTCTTGGCGCCGTCAACAGGAGACACGGAGGGAATTTCCACAGTTATGCTGATGATACACAGTTGTACATCTCTGTGTCTCCTGATGACACGCAGCCAATGGATGCACTTTTTAACTGCATTTTAGACATTAAATCCTGGATGGCAGAAAACTTTCTCCAGCTCAACAAGAACAAAACTGAAGTTTTAGTCATTGCTCCTGAGGCCCAGAGAGAGAAACTTTTACCAAAACTACAATCAATGTCTTTTAATACACACAGAAGTGAAAAACCTGGGTGTGACTTTTGACTCTGAGCTGAATTTAATCCAAAATATTTAAAAAAACTGAGACATAAGTAACGAATACCACTGATGTGTGCTTTATTTAAAATGGATTTGCTCGTGTGTAATTTGGTTAATCAGCATTCAGTGCTACTGCAAAAACAAGTTTGTTTCCAAATGAAAAGGCTCAACTGTTCATATCTGTAGATAAAGGAAAATGTGCACATTTGCCGTCACTTTTGAAAGCTTCGTCCCACTTTTTCATCTTGGCCCGTGTGAATTTCAGTTTGACGCCCCTGATCTAGACCAACCTTAGCAGTAGCATAAAATGTTGCTTTTTCAGGTTGGTTGCTGCGCAGGGGGAGGTGGGAGAGGGCTGAAGTAGGATGCAGAAAGTACCGTTATTAAAAGAGATGTGTTAACTTAGAAAATGTGTGCGCAATTTTAATTGTCAAAAACTCCAGCGAACCTACCGACACCCCCCCCCCCCCCCACCCCCCACCCCCACCCCCGGCCGCTTCAGGTGTATGACGTCATCAACGACTAGTCGAAGTCGACTCGATTTTCATTACTTGACTGTCGACTTAAAAAAAATTAAGTCGTGCAACCCCTAGTTGCTACGTGAATGTGTGAGGACTGGAGGACCCAGGTAAATGCAGAGGTGCGACGGTTCAGTGACACAACAACTGGATGCTGAAACAGCTACTTTCTGTCAGAAGGTTTATTGACAAATGCGAGAGAACTACTTAACTGTTGTTGTTTTTTTTAATTTCCACAAAATATTTGTAGCTGTGGCATGTTAGAATGTTAAGCAGCATGAAGAAATAACTTTGAAGCTTGTTTAGGCGATTTGCCTCTTTAAAGAGCAAGTAACGTCTAAATTAACTTTTTTTTTGCTGATGAACTGTATAAATGAGTGTCTAATAGTGTTTTAAATGTGTGTATTCATTATTTTAGCATTTTGGTGCATTTTCTTTAAAAATTAAAAATTCTGCCTAAATACCACAGTATAGCGCCACCTTCAGCTTAAAACATAGAATTTGACTCATTTTTGAATAAATTTTAGCCAATGGCTAAAGAGTAAGATACTACGTAAACCAGTAGAGTACTACGTAGCAGCTCTGTGTCAAAGTTATAAAAGCACGGGCAAGCAAGGCGTCTCGGCCACGCCTTGTGGCAAGTTGGGAGTTGGATTTGCAAGCGAGTGTAGGAGGTTAGCGGTAGTTCAGCCTTAGCATATAGCGTTAGCATATCCTAGTCTTTAGCATAGCTTTTAGTGTTATAAATACTTATTTAGTGTTAGTTTGGCTGTTGGATATTGTAGTTTAGTTAGTGTTTGGCTGTTAGTGTAATTGGGAAAGTAGTTCGGGTTTAGTGCTCCATATCGTGTTAGTATTGGTGAGTAGGTGTAGTGTAGTATGCTTGCGGTGGCTCTGTGGGCATTTTACCCGCGATTCTGCACGTCTCCGTTTGAAGAGGGAGGCTGTGCCCACCGTGGCTCTTCCGCAATTTAGATGCAGCCCACCGACTCTGCTCCCCCACCACGGCGGGCTCCAGTCTGAGGTGAGTAAGCTAAATAAACGTTTTAACATCTTCTAAAGACAATTCCCTACCTAAATGCAAAGTCTGAGAGATGTGGTTCACTTCCTTTAGCTAGTCAGTCGGCAATTCTGCAACAGTGGCTCTAACTAACAGCACTAGTTGACAGACAGCATTACAGCGTGAAATCCAGCTTGTGAGGATATGTGAGGAATTCTGTTCAGGAGGTCGCATTTCAGGCTCTCCACATCATGTGCGACTGACTTTTACGTTATAACAACGATCACACACTAGGAATGTTATAAAGAGCCTTTATAGGACAGTTTCTTTTATATATTATCTGACTTTATAAACTCCCAACAACAATGTGCTTCTATTTTTTTTCAGGCTAAATCTACCCAAGACACTGGCTGTCAGACTGATTTAGCTGCAAGAATGCACTTGTCCAGGCTGACGTGAAGCCTTACCTGTAGCAAAGGTGAATTATTTTTAATAATCTTCCATGTAAACATTTTATTATTACCTTCTAGTTTTAATTTGTTTTACAGATTATTGTTACACGTGATTTTATGCTCTTTTAAACATTTATAAATGTGCTGCTTCTTTGTTTTTACATAGCCAGCCAGAATGGAGTTCACAGCCGCAGTGTGTCTGGTGACCCACAGGGACCATGATGGAAATTCATCTTCCAGAAAGTCTCAGAGCAGCGTCCACACCCCCTGAAAAGACCAAGATGTAAGGTGTCTGCTGTTGATTCCAGCTTCCACCTCAGTGACAGTGCAAGCTCAGTGGACTGTTCAAGGTAAAAAAAAATTAAAACATTTCAGAATTTTTAAGATATAAACAATTAAATAAGTATGTGATTACATCATGACATCATGAAGGAGGCTACTGATTCTGGCCCTGTGACACTTGGTAGTGACATGTGAGCTGATTCACCTGGTAAATAACTTTTACATTAAATATTTTGTTTTTGCTATCAAAAGTAAATTAACTAATAACCTGCATTATTGCAGGACACTCAGCAAAATATGGACTACACCATGAGGCAGGCACACGTTAATACTTATAAGAGCACATAAGGTGAGCAACACCACATATTATTGTACACTGTCCTGGATTTGTTTTCTTTCTGCATCTCATTAGCCTGGCTGATCACCTGATAACCCCTGTCATCTGGTTATGACAGCATGAGGATGTCCTCACACACCTGTAACCTATCAGCTCATCTGGCAGAATAAAGAGAGAAGAGACAACACCACATCTCCTGTTCCTGGAAAGCCTTCAGCCATCCTTCGATGACTGAGAACCTCCATCAGCTCTGTCTCCTGTCTGCCTACAATTATTATAATAAATATTGTGTTTGACAAGTTTTTTGTGCTGCCAAATATCTCATATAGATTCCAGTTTTGACATTTTAATGGATATTTATAAATTACATTGATTATCACATTTTTGTTGCATGTTTAACTAGCTCTATTGTGATGAATTAAACTAGCACCTCAGTGTTAAAAGCTCGTTTTAATTTCAAGCATGTTTAAGTATTTATGGACATGAACAAAAACAGGAAATATATAAATTGAGATTTATTTAATTAATATAACAAATAAGGGGGAAAGAGTCATTGAAAGGCACATTCTTCTGGAAGCTCCTGATCCTGACGACACCAGAGATATGGTGTCAGGTTTCCGCCAAAACCCGTGCAAGCGTAGCCAAAACCCGTGCAAGCGTAGCCAAAACCCGTGCACGCGTATTGTCCACATCGCGCGTGCGAACGGGACTCGCGCGTGGAGGTTAGAACCTCATGAGTGAAAATATACATGGCGAGGAGGTCATTTGTACACTGAGAGGGAGCAAACTGTGTCTGTGAGCGCACAAGGATGTGCACAAGTGACAAACCTGCGTGCGCTCGTTGGCCAACGAGCACACGGCAGAGGAAAACATGCGCGCGGCAGCCTCACTGCGCGCTCGGTGCGGCAGCCTCACTGCGCGTGTGGCAGCCTTTCTGCGCGCTCGGTTTCTGATTCTGCTCGCTCGGCTGTTGGGAGTTTTGGCACTCTGGAGGCGTGGAAGAATTAAAGTGCCAGAAACTGAGCAGTTGAACTTTCAATTTGAGAGCAGAATTTCATATCAAGAGACCATCTTTTTAATTTCAGAATACGATTTTATATTATTGCTCTCAAAACTTGTAATGCTTGCGCTCAAAATGTCGGCTCTCTTTCAAATTCACTCTGTTCTCCTTCAAATCTTTGTTTTTGCGCTCAGATTTAACCTTCTTACACTGGTATTGTCTTCTCATGTGACAACTTTTTCTCTACACGGATCAAAACTCCTCCCACAAGTCTGTCCCCTGCTCTCACGGATCTTGTCTGCTCTTGCTCAAAACTTAGAAGTACAATCTCCTAGCAACCGCTCAGCCAATAGAAAGACTTGTGGGACTGGGCGGGAACAAACCTCTTTGGGGTGCGCTCGTTTTGCGCTCTGTAGATTTTCCTGTGTGGCTGCCGCATCTGCGCACTAACAGCCTGGCTAATACCCGCTCTGATCTGGAGCGAGTTTCACCTGCACCAGCAAAATGGACCAGAACCAACAAGACGCTCAAGTAAGTTATTTTTCAAGGCTACTAGCTGCAGTTTATTCCATAAAATTGTTTTGTTATGCTACTTTTTACAACTCCTCACATTTAATATTGCAACAGGGGCACATAGCTAGGTGGATTAGGGTCCTACATGGAATAAAATGTCCGGTGTTTTATCCAGGAACTGGGGATTGAGTTATGAGGGGCTAGATATGTGTCAGGGAAAGATCCAAAAATGTTTTCTAGTGCCGTATTCCCCAGAGTTGGATAAGTGAATGAAAAAGGATTGTTTTAACCAGCGCAGTAATTCTTATCTGCCAGCAGTCTGTCTGCTTTAGATGAGAATAAACCATGTAACTTAATGGGAGGTAGTAGCATTTTGTGTGCAAAACTGTAAAATTACTAAATTATGATACCAGTTATTCCTGTTGAGCTCAATAATCATGTTGACTGCAAATGAAAAGTAAGAAGTAACACATTAGCAGGAGCCAATTTAGACAGTAGACAAATTTTCACTTAGGGTGGAATATCCCTTTAAATCAAACTTCAAACATGCACGTTAGCAATATACAGAATATTTTAATTACATTTCATGTTAATCATTATTGTTTACTTAACAATGATTGTTGGTCACTGATTTAAAAAAAATGTCTTTAATAGGTTTCCTGTCCATTGTGTGATAAGAATTTACCCAGGAGTCTATACAACTGCATGCCAGCTTTTCTGGTGAAGGAGGAAGAGGACAGGTGCATGTTTTTACCCATGCACGTTGTACACAATATGTTATGAGAGTTTAATCTTTTTTTTTGTTTGTTTCCACATCTGAACAGCATCATACTGGATGTGGATGACTCTTCCAAGCACTTAAGCTGGTTAGAATTTTTACAAACATTTGTGTTAATGTGTAGGTTTTAAAATAAATAATAATAAACACAATGTTGTTGTCAATAGCTTATCAGACATCCTGAAGTTCCTACAAGAAAGAGTTGACAACACTAAAACCTTTAACATTAATGTGACAAGGGACGACCTTTACCAGAGAGGTCTGAAACAGCGGGCCAGACAGAAGCAGGCTTCCCCCAAAAACCAGCTAAGTGTTTCCTTTATTGGAGAACACGACATTGATGAAGGAGCACTACGCCGAGAGTTCCTAACTGGTATGTATCCTTGCTAATGTCAACATACCAACTTTGAATATAGTTGAAAATGGCAAACTGTCATATCTTTTTTCCCAATAGAAATGATGCGAGGCCTTGAGTTGAACTTATTTGAAGGAGTTTCATGCAAAGGCAAAACCCCAAATATAGTATCTCTTACTACCAGGAAAACAGATACAGGTATGTACAGTATGATGCTGCTCTGCAGTGTAACTTGGCTTGTTTTGTGTTCAGGATCTGTGGGGAGATCATTGCCACCAGCTTGGTTCAAGCAGGACCAGCACCGAATTTCTTTTCTACTTGGTCTTACCATTTCTTGCGTCATGGACAAATAACAAATGAAGATGTGCCAGAGGTGACTGATACGGAAACCCAGAACCTGATTCAGGAGGTAAATTAAACAGAATAATTTATTTTCTGTTAATTGTACTAACAAGTGTTTCTGATTGAAGGTCGAACGTGCCGAAGAAGACGCACTGACAGACCTTTCTGATGCCATTGTAGCATGTGGCTACACTGGTCAATTCACAGCAATTGCAAAAGGGCCATCATTGGGTAGGCTATGTTAATGTAGCATTAAACAAGTCATGCAATTTTTGAAAATTGAGTTATTACAAGTTCATTATTCTTTTTACTAGGGCCATCAGTTTGCATTCGGTGATGAGACTCATACCGATGCTAAGTCAGCTTAGAGAAGGACTGGCCATCTAGGGTTTGGATGAGCTGTTGCCACAACACCACCAGGCACTTCAGCCCCTCTTTCTTCCTGGGAACCTTAAACAGGTAAGTACAAATTCTTTAGGCCTCTGCAAAAAAAATATGTCCATTACAAAAACATATAGGAAATGCAGAGAAGCTGAAGCTGTTTTTGTTCCATCAACAGTTCTAATCGATTCTTATAAAAAATACTAAGAATCAAATCGATTCACAAGTACAAGAATATGTTTGTTTAACATTGTTTGCCCCAATTTATTTTTTACAGCTATCATTTTTTTTACAGACAGCAATTTTAAGTTTTCTTTAAGGAAGCTATCAGATGTATTTTTTATTCTAATATCATGGCAATGAAGTTTTACATATTTTTTAGTGGTATACATCTTCATTTTCTTATATTAATTTAGCTCTGCAGGATAAGCAGAAGCAGCCCTAACAGTTTTATCTTTTTAATTCACAGTATTTTTAAAAACGTCTTTTGTAGGTGGATGCAGACTTCGTTGTGGAGGCACTGGCTCCTCAGTACAGTGACAATGGATGAGTAAGACACAAAGGAAGTGGACATGATCAACTTTTTGCAGGACCTCTTGCAAAACCTGGAAGAAGGAGGTAGCCACAGAACCATGCAGGATTATTCCACTTTTACTGCTCATAATGCTTAGCTCTTTTTTAAATTGTTATGTTCAGTGCCTTGGGCTCCTGTAAAGGCAGTGGAAGGTGTTACATAAATAAAAATTGATTGATTGAGAAAATTTTGAAGTGTCAGAGAGACCATTGTGTTTCACCCAATCCCCCATCAAATAAAAAAAATTTAAAAATAAATTATAAATATATTTGTTTTGAAACTGATTTAGCCATTACACCTTAATTAGACAATAAAGTAACTGGCTAATTACAGAGAGGTAATCAGTACCTCAATCATGTTAGTGACACACTGATTTTTTTTTCACCCTTCAGGAACAGATGACCAAGATGGGAGCCCATCAGATGGCTGTGGAGCAAAGCAGTTGTCAGTGCAAGGATTTTTTCAGTGGGTTTCAGGCCAGGCACATGCGCCACTAACAGACACAGAAAGAGAATTTTACAAGATAACTGTAAATGTTGATCACAACGGTACCACCCGGTATGGACCACACTTAATCACCTTACCTACATGGCACGTTACTACATACACTGACTTTGAAAGTCAGCTTACTCAGGAAGTCTGTGATAGATTTGATTTTAGCAGACATTAAGTGAAAACAAGATGGCCACTGTTCTGGGTTCAGGTTACTGTATAATGGTTCATATTTAACTTTGATTCCAAAAAGACAAATGGTTTTGTTAAATAATGTAATGTTTTGGAGCTAGAAAGCGACATTGTTACATGAATCCATAAAGTTAGGCTTATTGCCATTTCATATACATGTTATGTATTTCTTTTGTAACATTAATAAAAGCACTGGAACTGATCTCTTGATTTTTTATTTCAAGTACACATTAATCTGACAAAGCAGCATTAACATATTCTCTGCACAACAGATAAAGTTCCTTAGCGTTTGAACGCTCCCAATTTTGTGCCAGTAGCAACTGCAGTTCAGCATGCTGCTCTTCAGTGAGGGGACTGTCGAACTCCGGGACCACAACAGCACCGTCCACATCTGGGCTTTACTCTGCTACAACATCTCAGTCGATGTCTGGCTCTTGGAAATCCTGACATTACAACAAGAGAACAATGATGATGTTTCTATAATGAGCTGCAATTTGTCAACAAATAAGCAAAATTTCCTAAATTTTAATAGAAACCAAATTATCACATTGTTGTGCAGGATTACTATATGCCAAAATTAGATAAAAAAAACAACTTACAAATAGCAGGGACAAGAATAACAAAAATTCAAAATGGTTTTGATTTAGAACTTTTACTATTTTGCAGGGGTGTAATTGTCATTTACTTGCATCACCGTAATTAAGTACAGTTTGCAATTTAAAATGTTTAACCTTTAGTAGGTTTTAGGGCTGGTTGATGAATAAAAGCATATTAATTTAAAAAAATCTAATCGATCGATAGATAATTATTTCAAAATTTTAAAACCGTAGAAGAGAATATACATTGAAGTGCATCCCTGGCCATTTTATGCTATTTCTTTAAGCGACAGTCTGTAGTTTTCTGCCACTAGGGGGCAGTACGTACCTAAATCATAACAAACAAGCTACATTTTTGTGTTCCGTGATGAGC